GATCTTAACTCTCATTACTACCTTACTAACCAGATCTTAACTCTCATTACTACCTTACTAACCAGATCTTAACTCTCATTACTACCTTACTAACCAGATCTTAACTCTCATTACTACCTTACTAACCAGATCTTAACTCTCATTACTACCTTACTAACCAGATCTTAACTCTCATTACTACCTTACTAACCAGATCTTAACTCTCATTACTACCTTACTAACCAGATCTTAACTCTCATTACTACCTTACTAACCAGATCTTAACTCTCATTACTACCTTACTAACCAGATCTTAACTCTCATTACTACCTTACTAACCAGATCTTAACTCTCATTACTACCTTACTAACCAGATCTTAACTCTCATTACTACCTTACTCATCAGATATCTAATTATTTACATATGATTTCTCACATCTCACTCAAGTCTCATTACTTACCCTATCTTTTTAACCTTTTTCTGATAATTACTGAAATAACTAAATCTTTTTTTTAGTTTAATTCTGATATTAAATTTTTAAAATCTCTTTAATTTTTTGAACTACGCCTTTAATTTGTAATTGCCGATTTCACAGATTTGAACCATTTAATAAAATAACATTATTCAACTTAATCATATCAAACATGGTAGTTTGATTTTCAGATCTACATTTTAAAACCTCTTTATTATCTTGAGTTATACTTTTATTATATAATACCTGAGTTCATAACTGAAAACTCTTAATTAGAGTACAATATTCAACTTAATCATAACAAGATTTGTTGAATTTCAAATTTGATTTATATCTTCCATCACTTAAAACTCTCACAGCTTACAATATAAGCTAAAAAGTATATTTTCATAGTAATAAAATTAATTATTAAATTTTTACTTTTTTCCTTTCCAAAACTAAAAAAAAGGAAGGGAAAAGGGAAAAGAAGAAAGAAAAGAGAAAAAGAAAAAAAAAAAAGAAGAGAAAAGAAGAAAAAATAATAATGAGCATATTATATAATTGTGTTCATAGGCCGAGTGGCGTGGAAAGGGTGGAGCCCGAAGGGCGACATCCTTTCCACGCCACGAGGCCCGATTTTTGGCCACTTTTTTTGATTTTGGCCGCCTGCCAGGAGCTGGCACGCGGCCCGCAAAATTGTGCCAGTTTGTACAACCCTAAGGGTTATTAAAATATTTTAGCTAAATCATTTATTTTTATGCAAGTTATGTCTTTTAATTCAGTATATATTCTAATAAATTTTCTTAATTAATTCCTTTAAACTCATATTCATTTCAATTTCTCATCACATAACTTATACATTCATTATAGTTAAAACTTTTCAAATCCTTCCAATGGAATTTTTATCAAATAATTTCGCCCAATTCCAAGTTTGAAATCATCGATATTGGAGAATAATACTTGTCCTAATCTTTATTGAGTTTTCCACTAAGCTATTTAAGTCTTATGGCTAATATATCCTCAAAATTATTATTTATTATATGCCTTGGCATAAATAGACACTATTTCCTAATATAAAATCGTTTAAAATTCATTTCCACTCAAATCTAGTTAAATTTATTATAATATAGTCATCTCAAAATCGCAGTTGAATAGCAATTCAATTTTTTGAGAGAAAAAAACGTAGTCTTTTCTCATAATGCTGCATGTCTTTCTCATAAATTTATAACAGTATGCATCATGGATTGCTTGGTTTTATTAAAAATTTGCAATTTGGTTCACATTTTTAATCATGAATATTTAGAAGTCACTCAACTCAGGGTTCCACATGTAGATTTATTCAAGGAGTAATAATGAAAAATTTAGATAATACTAGCTGAGCTTATATCATATGTGTGAGATAATGAGTGATTTATGAGTAAGGAATTATATTGATAATAATATTATAATAAATTTAACTAGATTTGAGTGGAAATGAATTGTAAACGATTTTATACTAGGAAGATATTTAAGGTAGCTTGAAAATACGTGAGTTACAAAATAAATTTCGATTATATACAATGCATAGATGAATTAGACAAACATGATAATATGTCTATTTTTGTCTTGCTATCACCTCCTTTTTTTGTGTAATATTCATAATAAATTTCATAATCTTTTTATTTGCCACAAATGAATATATCGAGATGTTACCATTGATGTTCCTAGTCAAGCACGCATATTAAAGTGGAAAATTGTGAAAGTTTTCAACTTAATAATTTAATTAATTTTGTATTTAACATTTGAGAGAGTTTTAATATTTGGTACAAGTATGTTTAAGGTAGCTTAATTTAAATAAGTATAGCGAACAAAAATGCGAGCGGTGTTAACGAAATCCTACATTTTCAAAATAATTTTGTAAGAAACAATTCTAATTCAAATTTCATATTAGAAAGTATATCAGAAGAAGCCGAAGATCAATTATTTAATGAATCACCAATTAAAAAATCTATTAATAATAAAATTTCTGAAATAATTCCATCACAAGACCAATTACAGCTTGACGACATTACAGAAGAAAAATCCGAAATAAATACATCAATAATTTCCACAAATACAAAAAATTCATATTCATATCTTGAAGAAGAAAAAAGAAGATAATTTCGAGTTTTATCCAGAATATGACTATTACAAACCTCGTCAACCTTACGAAAAACCTAAGAAAGGCTCAAAAAGAGTCAAAAGAAAACCAAATGCTGCATTTATTGAAGAACAACAAGAATTAAACACAGGAATTGATATTGATATTGAATATGAATATTCATATGAAGAAGAAAACAACGAAGAAGTTTTGTTTCTTGGAATTCCAAAAGACGGAGTTTATGCTAGTGATGACGATCATCGTGGCTTTCGTGTTAGTAAATATCCTAAACTGAACAGATACGAAACAGATCCAGATAAATATCAGGTCATTTCGACAATGAATTATCGATCTCGACTTTCAGAGTCAGTTTTGTCTAATGAAACATATCTATTTGAGTTCAACCATATATTCGATAGTGACCCAGATAAAATATCCCCTTTAACTCTTAAAAACGGATCAAGATTTATATTCTCTTCATCAAGTGATGATGAATCCGGACTCAAACAAGACAAATTCAATACACCAAAGAAGTATAATTACAATACACCTAAAATTAGCAAATCAACAACAAAAATTTCACAAAAAGAAAATTATCAACAATCAACTCCAAAAACAACAACAAATAAAGAAACCCATTCAAAAACCTCGCCTTTTAAACGAAAATTCCTTGATAATTCTAGTTCAGATGATGATAATTATAAATCTACTCCCAGAATCAAAAGAGATAATGCCAAATCAGCCTATAATTATAATAATAAGTTCCTTAAAGGAATTGATTAATTGTTTTATTTGTTTATATTTATAAATTGTTATATTATTCATCTATTTATATTTTTCTTTGAATACAATGCTTGGATTATCTTTATCTTCTCGAGTTAAAAATAAATCATCATCAACAGGATCGGTCGTTATAAAAGTACCTTACAAATAATTTATTTGTTTCATCATTTATGGAGTTTGGAGTTACCCAGAGAAATGTATTATCATTACATTGAATACGATAATATAATTTGTTATTATCAGCTCGATGAGATGTAACACGTACAATAGATTTCCCAGACTTATAAAAAATGAATAATTCTGAACACTAACTTTGAATTAACAAAATTAACATAAATAAAATATTTGATGAATATTCAGTGAATTTCATTTTTTATGAAGGAAGTTCACTTTTTTCACCCCCATCCTTTTTATTACTTTTGCAATGAGTCAAAAAACTCATTGTTTAAGTGCAATTAATTGTACTCGAGAAGTATCCCCATAGCGATGCTAATCAAGATAGCATTTGGAACCTTTACTATGAAGGAATTAGTCCTCCTTCCGAAGTTTTTACCGGTGAAGTTGAAAAAGTCACAGCAACATCTAGCAAATGCTTTGCATACATCTGCAAGTTTATCAATCTTCAAGATAGAGCAGTTAATTTCACAAATACAGTTGGCTACTCGATTTTACTTTGCGAAACCGTTTTTTCAGAAGGTCCAGGTACAGTATATATTAAAAGTTCTAGTAAAAATAACATTATTATTGATAAATTCTGTTCATTTGAAAGTCAAACTCCAGCAGTTGGCCAATTTACTTATTTAGAAGGTAAAATTAACAGTACAATCCTCCAGGGATCAATTTGTAATGGAGGAAGTAGTTCAGTAAATTATATGATTTTCCAACATCAAGGTTTTGCATCGCTTTCAAAAACAAACATTTCTAACTGTATTTCATCAGTAGATCCAGGTTTTGGTTATTATAATGTTGAATCAATTGTAAATGTTTCATTTTGTAATTTTGAGAATTTAAAAGCAACTGGACATATTATTACTGGGTTTTCTTATTGTACAGGAAGAATTGACCGATGTAATTATATAAATAATTCTCAAAAAGGATATGAAGGATTAGTTTATGTTTATAGAAATAGACTTGATATTTTCAATTCATCTTTCCAAAACAATCGACTGAATAACAAAGGAGTTTTATTTGATACAGATTGGGATGGGCAGATTTATATACATCAATGCAGTATTGATGATTTATCAACTGATGGAACAGTTGATGTATCAGATCAAGGAACAGAATCATTTAAGAATAATTTAAAATTCATTGATTTAAGTCCATGTGAAGGAAATCTTGAAATAGTATTATTATTTGTTCCAAAGAAAGAAAATAAAATTTGTTCTTCTTTTAAACTTATAAATTTTCTTTTTGGTAAATTTGATATTTCACTTGTTTTATTGATTAAATGATAAAAATTTCAATTACACATGCTCTCCACTTCCTGACATACTCATCACACATACGTGTATAGTAATCCTTGAACTGTTTAATGTTTTGTCCTTTATTTCTATAGGTTGCAGCCTTAATCGCCTGATTTTTTTTTTGACAAATATATAATAAGAATCTTCGGACAACTGTCAAAAAAAAAAGTTATTTGCCAAGTTTCAGAAGCATTTCCATACATGAGGGTTAAGACAAAACTTAAGAATCCACGATCAACATTAGGTAAATCTATCAAAGAAATTTTAAATCGAGCAGGCAAGCGACAAATTTCACATCCAAAGCAAAACCAAACTTACGAAAACGATGATTCTGCATCTGAGAGTCGGCGAAGTAGTACAAGAATTAACGAAATCTTACATTTTCAAAATAACTTTGTAAGAAACAATTCTAATTCAAATTTAATATTAGAAAGTATATCAGAAGAAGTCGAAGATCAATTATTTAACGAATCACCAATTAAAAAATCTATTAATAATAAAATTTCTGAATTAATTCCATCACAAGACCAAATACAGCTTGACGACATTACAGAAGAAAAATCCGAAATAAATACATCAATAATTTCCACAAATACAAAAAATTCATATTCATATCTTGAAGAAGAAGATAATTTCGAGTTTTATCCAGAATATGACTATTACAAACCTCGTCAACCTTACGAAAAACCTAAGAAAGGCTCAAAAAGAGTCAAAAGAAAACCAAATGCTGCATTTATTGAAGAACAACAAGAATTAAACACAGGAATTGATATTGAATCTTCCCAATTAAAATCAACAATTATTCAAAAAGATTTCAATACTTTGTATTTATATAAAAATATCCTCATTTATTCAGCGAATGCACATACATTGTACTATAATTTAGTTTATTCCACTTATCATTTACTAAGACTGAAGAACAATTTTATTTAAAGTTGATTTATTCTTAAAGGTGGAAAATGTTTATTTAGTTTTATTCTTTTTCATACCAGAAAGCAAGATAAAGAGCGAAAGCAAGTACAATTACTTGAATTACAATAACAAAGATACCAACACCTAGAAGAATCTTCTTCCATGCTTTGATAAGATCATCTACTTGTTGGGTGCAAGTTTCAATTGTTGTTGCAGTTGTGTTGTGATAACCACAGTTCTTCATATCTTCTTCGCTATATGGTGTCTTGTAACCACAGCATTCTAAGCCTTCTTTGATACTTTTGATTGTATCTTTGCCTTTGTTTTCATCCCACCAAGCTTGAACAGTAGTGTTAATCTTCTTTACAATACCAATTGCTACGGCAATGATAACAATTTCAATAACAACAACTACAATGAACAGGATTGCGTATGTGACTCTGTAGCATTTAATGTTACCAAAGCAAATAATAAGGAAGCCAAGAATGCATACAATTGCAACAAATACGAAAACAACAATCATCATAATTACACCTGTTTTTGCTTTGCCTAAAGTATCAAGGTTATTCTTTTTGATTGCAGCCCAACCAATGAAGACACATAGGCCAAGAATGAGAAGAACAATGAAGTTGACAATTCCAATAACTGTTCTAGCGCAGCAGGAGCAGCAAGTCATACTTGTGTGAAAATGAAGTTCTCTTTCAAACGTCATACTCTTTTCAATTTTTGATAAATCTTTCAATTACTGAATTATCGACATTCAAATGATATTTTAAGCGACTTGCAAAATATATACAATCATTTATTAATACTTTCTAAACCTATAAATTATGATCTTAAATTTTTTTTGGCAAAAAAATTCTGATCTTAAAAATTTATCAAGTTCGCATTAAACTATTATACTATCAGAAATAATTAATATTATCAACTTTATAATTTCAATTGGTTTTCAATTCAATAAAATCTATTCGATAATTCACAGGGCTCCATTCGGCACTTAATCTTCATAAACACTCCTCTCAATTGATTCATTTGTAATTGATATATAAAATAAATGTTTACTAATAAGATCTAATAACTCAAAAGACGAGTTGTGATATGAAAATATATAAGATTATTTGAGTAATTTCATGATCTTGATACAATATCTAGTCAATTTATGCCTTCAACATTTTTGGGACTCTATGATTTGGTAATTTGTGATATGAAAACTTTGTTTATTGTTACGCTGAATTTTGAAATGAGTTCTGTGAATAAGGAGATAATTGAATTAGATTAGGAATATAGGAATAATAAGCATTGGAACTTTGCTGGTAAGGCATGGGTAGAGGTTGACTTTGTTGATTTCCTTGCATGGAAACACGAATTAATGGTTGAAAGAAATTTTGTTGGTTGATTTGTGGGGGTTTTATCTGGATTTTTTCTGGACAATTCTTATATAGATCATTCAATAAAAATGTTCGATTATCACCTTCAAAAGTTCGATAATTAAATATGTTAAAATGCAATGTAAATTTTGCACGTAAATCTTCATCCATGAACCATTCCCGAAGTTTGATATTTTTAAGTAAGTTACAAAGAGATGGAAAGTCAGATTCAAGCGAAGAACCTATTGGAGTATGAACAATCATATGATTCAAATACTGAATTTTCCTTGTGGTAACATCTCCCGTTATCAAATATTGTTCAAGAGTCGTTGGCCAAAGATGTAAAATCCGTAAAAAAATCAATAACCAGAGAAAGGAAAAAATGGCAATCGTTGTGGTTCTAATGATTGGAGTTTCATCGAAATATGAGATAACTAAACTGACAATTGAGGCTATATATGCGGTCAATAGTGGAAGTTCATTGAAAGTATTGAATATGTTGCCAATCAAAATTATAATACATGCGAAAATTCTGCCAATTCCGCAAGTGGGAGTGCATGATATGCAATTAAGAAACCTATGTGGTATGTAACAGCATTCACAGCATTTGGGCGGATGAAAACAACAGCTACAACAAAAATAAGTTTCACAGTCAAAATCTACAGTCAGGTTTCCAAGATATGCTTCCATATCATAATCATCCCATATATAATCACTATTGAATGACTGAGAAACCCCATTAACACCATTTTCAATTAAATCATCATCCGATTGATCATTTTGTAAGATAGAACTAATTTTCATCTGAAAAATGAAGTGAATGATTGGTTTGTCAAAAATTTTCACTCCCATATTATTTGTATTTAGGGATAAATCGATATAACATTTTTTTAAAGATGTAAAAAATGCGGAAAAAGATGTTGTAAAAGATGTTGTAAAATTATTGAGAACAAAATTGTCACCTAAAAATAAAAGTCAAAAGGTTCAAGAAACACCATTTTTATAAAGAGATACCCCAACAAAAATTGAGGGAGATTGAAAGAAATTGAGATGGAAATAACGCAAACTTTTTAATAAAATGTGCCTTAAAAAGGATGAAAATACTTTATAATTCTGTATATTCTTGAACATTATAAATTCGTCGAATAAAATTTTAAAGATTTTTAAAAATTTAAAAAATGAAATCTAGAATATATTAGGAATACCAGAATATGGTCTTTTATGAAATGTTTCAAATTGAAGTGACTTAAGATAAGATCGATTCTCCAGGTATTTAAATTCTTCCTTTGGATTATCTTGATCATTGTAAGTTTGAAAGATTTGTTGCTTTCGATTTTCTTTGACAATTCGAAATCAATTTCTTTACACTGGAAATTGTTTTAAGAACTGATACACCAAAATCGAGTAAATCACAATAGACCTCATCAACACCATTAGAAAACTCATTAAAATCAACTCTTAGTTCACGACAAAATTTTTTTATTATTGGATATATTTCTTTCGATTTGTATGAAAATCTTTGTATGAAATTTAGGTTGAGATAAGTTCGATACTTGATTGCAATAGAATCTAACGATTTAAGTAAACCAGGCCATTCTTTATTAATCCAATATAAGTACTTATTTAGATATTGTATAAAATTTCCAAATTGGAATTCAGTTTGATCTTTCAATTGATAATACATTGAAAGAGACTCTTCTGGTAATTCGTCTACATTAATTGAATAAATTAAGTTTAAAAGTTCCATAACTTTTTCATTAACTTTATAAACAGTTGGAGATAGTTCAAAAAAATCAAACCTCTGTTGACAAGATGTAAGTGGCACTATAAATAATTTTGTAGATGGCGCGAATGCATTGAAGAATCTGCATACTTGAGTGAAAGCTATCAGGTAATCATTGTAATCTGCCATTAAATTTTTTGAAAAATTTATGTCAAGAGTGAAGAAATATAGGCAAGCAGATAGATAGTAAAATAGAAATGAACATTTAAGTTCTTAATTTTTATTAAAGAAATTGTAATTCAGTGACCTTTAAAAACCGATAACCAAAAAGTGACAGTTCTCACTAATTCCTAGTTCGTAAGCATTCATAACTCATTATTTCTCGGTGCATTATAATTATAGACATCTATAATCTTCAAAAAGAGCTAGCTAGAGTTAAATATATATAAAATTACGAAATGTTAAAAAAAACGACCTTTATATATGAAAGACATCTGTTGTCTTAAATTGTTTTTCCTACAATCATATTCGTAATTCATCGACAACAAAGTGTCAGGAGAAAAGAAGGAATAGTAGGGAAAAAAAGCATATTCATGTATTAATGCTTAAACAGAATTCGCATCAATTTAAAGTACTTTCATTTCCAAACTAATTTTATATCGAATAAATCCTAAAGAAAAATTGGAACACCAAAAAATGAATGGTATAACTTAATTGAGATTTGAAGGTTCATGCATATCATACCATTACAATACATTTATTAAATAAAGTCGGGATTATGAAAAAATTATTAAAGATTTTGTTTAAGATAATGCTTATGAAAAAGAAAGAGGAAAGAAATATATAAGGGTTTCGTTTTGCGAAAAAAACGTACAATACGCAATTTCGCTAAAAAAACATTTAGCTAGCAATTTCGACCTTTGACTCCACTCAAGACGTCACTTTTTTAATTTTGCGGTATCATATTTTTGGAAAATCTTTATGAATATTATATAAGAAGTCTCTTTAATATCTATATTTCATATTTTTATCGATTTTTAAAGTTTTTGCGAAAAAGTATTCAATTATTTTTGCTATTTGGTCGGGTAAATGTCAGATTTGCGACATTTTCTGATATGATATTCAGATTCTACGTTGATAATAATGCTTATAGAACCCTCTTGCTATTGTGTCAAAATTGCGAAACCGATAGCAAAAATATCTCGCAATATCAAAATTGAGATATTGAGTGAATTATGCATTATAGAGATTAAAAATCTGATTTGTGAAAACATCTCATCAGTTTCTAGCTAATTCAAAAATCTTTACTATCTTATTGATTAAAATGAAAAGGAATAGTTTCATTATGCTTTAAATGACAGCCTTATAATATAATCATAGTTTTCGCTCAATATGCAGCATTTTTTTTTTCGAAATCTATGGTCAATGTCCTAAATACTGATTGCTTTGCATTCATATCTCTTACATTTTCTATACCCACATCACTATTCATTGCTATTCCTATCTTTTTCATTTTTGTTTGTTTCTCATAATTTCTCAAAAAACACGATAACTTGATATTTGTAAATATCATACTTTATAACGTAAATAAGAACTTGACCTATTAAGAAAAGCAGTAATGAAAAGAAAATCTGAAATTCATAAAAATTACAAGTTTCTGATGACAATTAGCTTAATTAAACCAGGTACAAGATTATATAATTGTATTTTCTATCCAATTATCCATATAATATCTTATCCAGAAAAAATAACTTGATCAATACCAAATGATTTTTTAACTAGTAAATAAAGTATTTTCTTTACACACACATTGTATATCATAGTTTTTTTTTGGTTTCGCAAAACATCCAAAAACAAATATGCTATAAAAGTGACAATTTTAGCAAAACGAAACCCTTAAAATATATGAATAGCTTATTTAATATTTTTCA